GTTGGGGTGAACCAATTGGATGAAAAGCTTCAGTGCTTCATGGGGCTTCATCTGCCCATCACTACTCACAGGCTCCAAGTGTTTAAAAGTAATTATCGTGAATACAACTACTTAAATGAACCTAAAGTTTCATTAATGGAGTTATAGCTGTCTTTTTCTCTTTATATCGTTACGTTATAGTGAAGCACGATCCCCTCGTGCTTCACTACTTGCAAGCAGGCAAGTGACGTGTTCACGAACGAAACGGTCTGCTTTGTGTCTGCTTGTTCACACTACAAATGAAATGTGACAGCGAACACGTTCTAGTCTGTGAACCCTCAAAGCGGCCCGCATGCGCAAAAGAAGACGTCACACACAACGCGCTCTGTTTCGATCCAGACCGAACAGTATTGTTTGACTGATGGTTCTTAATATAAAGACTTCGGTCTTTACGTTTCCCAATTTTGCTTTAAATTCTAAAGTTATTGTGTTATTTACATATGGCCTAATAATTATCCTTATTGCTGTTTTAGAGAGGAGCGGTGCTTCAAAGGATAGTTGCAGATTTCTGTCAAAATCTGACAGCACTGTCAGGTGTATGTACAGTGCCATGATCGGATATGGGTCGCATAGGGTCAGAAAAGTCGGATTTGTTGTGCTTTCGCCTGCAGTGTGAATGTAGCCAAAGAGTGAACAGTAGACTCTCACTAAATTATATATTTTTCATCTCTGTTCACAATTTTCTGGATTTCTTTTTTATAAGACTAAGACTGAACTTTATTTTTCCATGTTTGGCAATGTTCACATTCTGTTTAACTTGTTGCTTTTTTGAAGAAGTGATGCAGACTAATGAATCAGTCTAGTGACAAAAGTTACAAACAGTTGTTTGAAAGGAAAGCTGTTTGTTCAAAACAGAAATTGTGAATGAGTTTATTATCTAAATAAATTTGCTGCTAGGCTTTCTGTCATAGTTTTGTTTAGAAGGATTCCTGCCATGTGGGGAATGATGTAAAAAGTTTGAGAATAACTGGATTATTGCAATATCAAGTTGTGCCTTGTTCTCAGACGGACAGCAAGTGGAGAGTGATAGATGAGATGAGGAGATGGAAGGAGGAAGAGAGGCAAAGAGTGATTCACAGGCAGAGCTGAGTTTATTTCTCACTTTTGTTGCCTTATGGTTCCAAGGACTGTCGCCAAACTTTGCATTTTATTATTATCTCATAACACTTGTTCAATAAGCTACCATTTCTCCTGTGGACTTTCTAATGTCTACAGTCTCAGATCAGCACAGCCCTGCCCTCCAGCACTATCAGCAGCAGCAGCAGGAACAACATTGTACCCATCAGGTAACACATAGGCTACGTTTGCTTTGCATTGCCTCGCCTCTGTCAGTGCGCCCCAGGGTGGCTGTGGCTACAATGTAGCTT